GAAGTTCAGCTTGCTTCCAGACGATCTATGCCGAGCCCTGATTTCTCATGACAACTCTGCGCGAGAGAAAAGCTGAAATTTGAGGCTGGAAATTGTGCTAACTCTAAGGTAAGAGGATCTTGCTTAAAAAATACGACGACTACGCAGTTTTTCAAGCGTTAAACAAGGTACCTATCGAAAAAGCTCAAATCGTTTCACTGCACTGGTTTGTCTCCCAAAGCGTTCGAGCCATTTGAACTATTGCTCCTTTTTTGAGCTGCGATGGGTCCAGTGTGTAGCACATATCTCACACTTTGTTAAAGTGACTTTGCAAAGAATTCTGACTTGAAAGATTGAACTTTGAGCGCAAAAAGGAGAACGTTTAAGGTGTGTGGTGTGTGTAATTACGACGTATCCTCATTATCCACATCATTCTCTTTGAAATCAGTAGGAGAAGTGGAATAGTGCGGTGTATGTTCAATCGATTTGTTCATGGTTGTCATTAGCTAGTTGATCTTGTCCGATTTTTGCAAAACAAATAAATATGAGAAATAGAACAACGGTAATAGAAGTGGAGATAACAGTGGCGTGTGAGTAGCATGTCTCATTTCTGTTACATTAGTGTAGACCAAAATGAAAATTGATACCCAGCTCAACCTTGTCTGGCATTGCAGATTTGGAAAATCTACTAGCGATGGAATCTATCGTGAACGTCCATGACAAAGAAAATGTACGCATCTTTTTTCGTGCTTTATATTGACATCGTAGTGTGACTCACCATTCTTCGACCATCGTGAGTGGTTGTTCCCAGCGTCAGGCTGCTTACCCACAGGGAAGCAAGCGACAAGCCGGCTGAAGAAGACGAATCGTCGCATCGATTGGTATGCTCTTTTATGTCTCAGCGAGATCAAAGACTTACAGCTAGGGCGTTCCCCGAAAGCGACGAGAAATTGAGCCTAACGAACATGAACAAAGAGCGAGAGCTACTGTCTCAACGAGCGAAAAGGAGATGGTCAAAAAACTTGGCTCATCATAGGTACAAGCAACGACAAAAGTTCTCAGAATCGCTTCGACTTGCAACCATCAACGTAGGATCTTTGACGGCGCGACACCGCGAACTGGCAGATCTTCCTAAGAGATGCAGAGTGGATGTCGCCTGCATTCAAGAAACCGGATGGAAAGGGCAAAAGTCGCGCGATATAGGAGACGGATTCAAGCTCCTATACAACGGAGTAAGTAATGGCAGAAACGGCGTAGGGATAGTTGTCTACGAAAGACTGAGAAAGAAAATAACTAACGTTGATAGAGTAAGTGACCGCCTTATGAGCATCAGGATTGAAAATGGGAAGCAGATTTTACGAGTAGTCACTGCCTACGCACCACAAACCGGTTGCGGTGAGGTTGAAAAGAATGTGTTCTGGCATAAACTCGATGATTATATCCGATCTTTACCATCAGAAGAGATGCTCCTGCTTGGAGCAGATCTCAACGGCCATGTCGGAAAGCAAAGGAGTGGCACAGAAAAATGTCATGGAGACCATGGATACGGAGTACGACATGAAGATGGTGAACGCATTCTTGAGTTTGCTACAGCTCATAACTTAGCGCTGGCAAATACTTATTTCATAAAGAAAGACAGTCATTTGATTACGTATGTCAGTGGAGGCAGAAAGTCACAAATAGACTTTTGGGCAGTAAGGCAGAGTGAACTCAAGTATGTGAAGAACAGCAAGGTCATTCCAGGTGAAGAATGCATACCGCCTCATAAGCCACTTTTACTGGATTTAAATATTCCATCCGACAGGCAAAGATGGAAAACGACAGAAAAGAGAGCACATCAAATGGTGGAAGCTCAAAGAAGACCATAGCGCCACAGTTGCATTGGAATCTACTCTACCTGAGTTAGAAGAAGATGTAGAACAGTCCTGTGCAAATCTAAAGAAGAACGTTCATCAGGTAATTGGAGATATACTAGGGCGCACGAAACCAGGAAGACCTAGACTCAACAAAGAAACATGGTGGTGGAACGAAGAGATTCAGCTTGTGATAAGAAATAAGAAATCAGCTTTTAGAGTATGGCAAAGAACAAGGACAGAAGATGCTCATCGGAAGTATCTAGAAGCGAAACGTACAACAAAAAAGAGAGTAAGGGAAGCGAAAGAAAGTATGTAACGGAGTTGTACAGAAAATTGCATACTTCCGAAGGTGTACTTGAAATCTACCGTTTGGCCCGAAGAAGGACTGACGCCATGAAAGACATAGAGCACTTCTACAGTATTAGAGACGAACAGGGGAGGATGTTGAAAGGACCAGAAGATATAAATAAAAGATGGCGAGCACATTTTGCAGAGTTAGCGTCCGCGAGCTGCGAATGTACATCTACCATAAAAGCTGAACCAGTTCACGGACCAGTGCCAGCCATTACAGAAGATGAAGTCCGCGTCGCTATTTCGAAGACAAAGAACGGCAAAGCGACAGGCCCAGACGATGTATCCAACGAATTCTGGAAGAAGTGTGGACAAAATGGAATTTTGTGGCTAACGCGACTACTAAACCAAATAGTGAGAATCAAGAGAATGCCTAGCGACTGGTGTAAAAGTATAACGATACCAATATGGAAAAATAAAGGCGACATAGCCGACTGCTCCACGTATCGGCCCATCCGTCTCATTAGTCACAGTTGAAAATATTCGAAAGAATATTAGAGACACGACTTCGAGATATAGTGGAGCTTGCACCCAATCAATGCGGATTTTTGAAAGGCTGCGGCACAACTGATGCAATTCATATCTTTAGAACACTTATGGAAAGATGTCGAGAAAAACAATGTGAATTACATGCTGCATTCCTGGATTTAGAGAAAGCATTTGACAAGGTGCCACATAACATGATATGGTGGGCCCTACAGAAGCACATAGTGCCAGAGGAATATGTTCGGTGGGTAAGAATGATCTATCAAGGTGCAACCAGCTATGTAGAGACAGCAGCAGGACGATCAGAGGATTTCCACATAAACATTGGCGTACATCAAGGATCCGTCCTTTCACCCCTCCTCTTCATAATTGTTGTTGACGCGATAGTTAGAAATTTTATACGTCAACCCCCATGGGCACTCATATACGCTGATGATGTGCTCCTGATGGCAAGAAGCAGGAAGGAGCTGGAGATGGGCGTACAGATGTGGAAAACCCAGCTTGAACGACATGGTTTCAAGGTGAACATTCTGAAAACGGAATACATGGAAGTGGGTTTCCAAACGCCTGGAACTATTCAAATGGGAACCACTCTGATAAAGAAGACTACCTCTTTCAAATACTTAGGAAGTCGCATTTCTGCGGATGGCACGCTAGAAGACGAGATATGCGACAGAATAAACGCAGCTTGGTTGAAGTGGAGAGACCTCACAGGAATTATGTGTGACAAGCGGATGCCAATATACCTAAAATCGCAAATCTATCGTACGATGATCCGACCGACTGCGATGTACGGCTGCGAGTGTTGGCCTATCACGCACAACGAAGAGCGAAAGCTTAATACGATGGAAACAAAAATGCTGCGATGGACTCTAGGCATCACAATGATGGACCATGTCACATATGACACGTACGAGCCATGATGAAAGTTGCCCCAGTTGTAAAAAATTGCAGGAGAGACGACTTCAATGGTACGGCCATGTGAAAAGAAGTGAAGAAGACCACATTACCAGATCGAGCACGTCAATAGATATATCGGGAAAAAGACCAAAAGGAAGACCGAAACTGAGATGGTTAAAGCGGATCTAAGAGAGCTCAAGCTAGAAGAAGAACAAGCTTTGAATTGCAAGCTGTGTAAGAGACTCACAAGAGCAGCAGACCCCGAATAGAAAAAAAAACTTTTTTCTTTCATTGCGAAAATGCAAGGATCATGACTTATAATAACGGGCTAAGGATGTTTACGTGACTTTGTGTGTATGTTTGTGTGTCTGTTACGAAATTCGTGGAGCGTGTTCCAGCAAACGTCCTGGGCCCAAATTTTGCATAGCACATGCTACCAGCACAAAACTCCACCATGCAAAAGCATGAGCGGATTCGTTGAGTGGATCCCTCAGAAATTGCGTGCCAAACGGGTCCACCCGGCTTCTGTACCGCAAAATACGGTCCGTATCACCACTTTTTGCAAAGTCGTGGGTGTGTTTGGTTAGCAAATGTGCAAACGATAGACATTAGCCCAAAAAGTAGTCAAAAGTTTACTACATAACGAAAAGGGCGTCAAAAAGAATTGGTTGCGTAAATGGTCAATTTGCCAAGGTTCTAGCTAAGCGTTTGAGAAAATTTCCGCACAGAGATGTAGCTCACAGTTATCATTGCCTTTATGGCGACTACCAAGTCATGACAAATCCAAAAACCTATTCAAATTTGCGTTTGTCTTCCTGCGAAAAGTTTCATCCACGCGAAATCACCGATCTCACTTGAATAGACTTTCTAAATGAGTGGTTGTTTACATTTTATTCGTGGTAGTCGGCATAGCGCGATGAGTTCCAGTGCCGCGATTTTACGAGAATGAGTAAGGCACATAGATAGTAGAGCCAGTGCGAACCTCTGCGAAGCAGAGGTGACGCACTGGTAATAAATAAATAAATAAAATATTGACATCGTGTCAGATAAAGTTTTATTTGAGGCATATAATCTTGCTTTTTCGGTTTATTTGAAAAATAAATATAGCTTGACTTTTGCTAAGTAACTTCCGCCATAATCTTTAAGCGGTTTTTATCGCACTTTGGTAAGTCTCTCGATTTGATCAGGGAGTGCATTTTTGGTCTAGACTTCTTAGCCCACACCTCAACATTTTGGGTAACGCATCATACAACGGCGTAAGCGAAAATGAAATTGACTCAAAGAATATATGCTGTCACTGTTTTCCGCTCCTCTCGAAATAAATCAGTCCGACAATATGAATTGCGTAGTTGTGTTATTCGCTTTGACATAAATCACATTGAACTTTCAACTGAAAATGAATAACTGCCATAAGAATGATAATCTTACTCTTGTTCTGCCGTTGTCTCTGTTTGCGGTGTGTGTGATTCGCGTTTACCAACAGGGTTTTTTGTTATAGATACGAGCTTCCCTAAATGATGTTATTAAATTTTACTCATTTCGAAAGACCATTTTTTGTACATCTTATGTATAAACCTGTGGCTGTCCCAGGATTTCTGTTCGGGGAATGGGGGGAGGGGGAGGAGGAGCAACGGCATGTTCTCAAATGGAGGTGCGTGACGTTAGCCACGCACTCTAAAAGATATCTTAAGGTGCTTTCCAAATTTTCTAGCTCATAACCCCAGAATTTAGAAAAAGAGGGCATGGCGATAGCCGGTATAAAGCTGTGCGTGACTTTTTATTACAGAGGCTAGCTTTTCAATATGTGGCAAGCTAAGCACTGAGGAGAGTTTGTTTTTTAGGTCTGTGTCACTTTTCTTGTGAGAGAAAGTTGCATTGAAACGTTTGTGAGTATTCCTAAAGCATAGTTCATGCTTTGCGCAATTGGCGCTCAACTGCGGGCAGATCTTAGTGTATATTGATTATCTTTCGTTGAATAATGCGAACGTATCAAGTTTAACTATTGAGAAATGCATACGGAGGGTTGCATACGGAGAGGTATGAGCCATCGCAGCAGTCAAGCGATTCATGAATGATGCTAAACGTACCGACTCGTTTTCTTTCATGGTTTTCACGGCAAGTACATCCTACCACATTAGATAGAAGAAACAAACACGTTGTTTATGCCCATCCCTAATTCGTAATTGCAATGATGTCGCATTTCTAGGTGTTAAACCGCACCCTATTTGCTTTGAACCTACAAGCAGTGCGCGCATCGCTGCGCATGAGTCTCGCAAAGCGGTCGCTCTCCCTAATTTCCGCAGTCAATGCGTCCGCGCCCTTTAAAACGCTTCTTTGGCGCGTTTGCGTTCAGAGCCATTAGGATGCGGTTTCTAAACCCAAGAAAGGGCAATCAGAAGAACTCGCATGTGGAAAGAACGGAGCTTGCTGTGGACACTTATTGATGCGATTGCGCACATCATTTGCGATTGAAAAGCAATACAAAAGGCTTTATGTTTGGAAATATTAATACCATCACTGCTCCGTTGTTTTCGCCGTTCATTGATGGCCGCCACTGCGGTTGTCCTGTTCTGAAACATAAAGGTTTTGTGAGCAGGGCCAGCCATTGTAGTCACTCACATCACAGATTATGTGAGAGTTTACAAAAATTACGGTTAGAATTGAGGTATGCAACCGCATACTCCATAAAGTGTATGAAACTGAAGCTTTCCCTTCATATCATGCAAATGAAAGCTGAATGATTATGATACAATCTCGTAATTCATTCATTCTCAGACATTCGCAGTTAAGTCCCGCCGGAGATCCGCCCACAAAATGAGATTTCGCGAGAAAACCGGGAGTCTTGCGCGACTCCCGGTTTTGTCCCGAATTTCGGGACAATCCCGACACAAAAAATGAAGCGGGAGAAAACCGGGAGTCTTGCGCGACTCCCGGTTTTGTCCCGAATTTCGGGACAATCCCGACACAAAAAATGAAGCGGGAGAAAACCGGGAGTCGCGATCTCGCCATCCAGCTAACATGGTAACATGTTGGCAACGTGGTTGTAACATGTTTGCAACATGCCACAACATGTTGACAGAACATTTTAGCCGCGCCAACATGTTGTGACATGTTGCATTGCAGTAGCACCGCTTCCGCAGCAGTTTTCATTTACGCTCTTGCCGTCGTCGGAGGCAGTTGTGTTCGAAGGCTGGTTTCGTTTCTTGGTGTACATGTTCATCGGATTTAACTCGGAGATACCTGCAAGAAATGATTTTGGGAGTCAGTATTTTTCTCTTTTTATAGAGTTTTTATAAGCACACTTGATTGACTCGCACGCAAAGTTCGTCCCCAAAGCGTTTCTTTACCCGGATCTGTCATGTTCGATTCATTATTGGTTAATGGCATGTGTCGAACATGGAACGCCTTCAAATGATCCGATGATCAGTCAAATCTGCGCCACAGCTGAAAATGACGTTTTGGCGACTACAGTGAGTGCTTTCTCTTTTTCCCGTGTTTTCACCTCTTTTTTGTGCATTTTTGGTTTTTTGTTTGTGAACATCTGCCATCTGCCATCATCGCCGTGGTCGTATTGCGCAAACAGCTGTTTTTTTTTCTGTCATGGTATGGCATTATTAGTAAGTGCCAGTTCAGTGAGCTTGTCGCACACTTCATGTGAAGATGTAAAAGTCGCGAATGTGTTGCTTTTCGTTTTGTGAGAATCAACTATTGTTTGTTTTTAATCATTTTTTCACGTTTATATCTGGTGGTGTCAATATCCTTACATGGTACTAAATTATAGATTCCTGAACAATGTCTTCTTTTGAAAACAAAGTAATATTTTTGAAATCAGAAAAGAAGATTATGCGGATCTATGCCGTTGACTCTCCACTGAGTCCCCCTTCGTCCGATATTCTATTAGTTGTAGCGGAATTCTTTGAAGATAATTTACGATGTTGAAATCTTTGGGGCATCTTGCGCAACGTCGGTTTTCTTTTGTTCTGTTTTTCGTATTTTTAAGTGAGTCTCGAAAAGTCCGAAGTCTTTGGATTTTTTGGGAAACTACCATTCATACCCCAAAATCTTTTGATACCTTTTAATCCTAGTTCATACTTATGATTGCAATTCCGCGCCTAGCTTTCCATTTTTAGATGCACTTTCGCATGATTTTCGGTAACATTTGAATACTTAACCCATTGACGACGATGCCTAATTTTGTATGCGGCGCTTTGTGACGAGTTTTATGGTTATTTACGAAATGCAAGGTTTATATTTGTAAACAACTATAAACATTCTCTTGAGCGACTGGGCCTACAGGTTCCAAGAGTGCAAAAAGTTAGAAGAAATATCAATATATGGAAAAGATACTAGACCTTCAAAGATTATGACTTTGCAAGAGGTGTGCGCCACCGGTGGCTCACATCGTCGTCAATGGGTTAAAACTTCATGATAATGTCTTCCGAATTCCATGCAACTGCATATGTAATCCATGTATACATTTAGCTAAATACTTGTAAATGCTAGACTATCTTACCTGTTCCCTGGCAGCTCTTGGATTCACCATCAGCTTCTTTTCTCTATGAGAGTCGTTCGCTAGCAGTGTTGTCTTCTTTTTATTGCGTTCGCTTCGTTCATACTTTTTGCCGCGTTGGCGGATTAGCGTGCCTCTGCTGGATGTTGTTGCGAAGTTCTTATAAGTGAAATGTTTTGAAATTGCATGGCATTGAGTGGACAGTTGTCGACTGATGACACTTTTCTCATATAAAACACGCCTCATGCTTCGAGGTTCTCCAAAAGTGGATGAGACACGAGACCAAGTTTGTGAACCGTAACGCTTCACTTCTAACGTCATGCTTATTGACAGCTGTCTGTGAAGGGGATCTTTTTTTTAGTCTGTGACTTCCTTGGTCTGAGGCTGTCCCCGGGATGGCATTTTTTCTTCTTTTGTGAAAAAGCATACTTCGGAATTATTTCTTAGACTATTTATAATCACTTGTTCATGGATGTGCTATCAATGTACGCACTGAGTAATCCTTAGTGACCCTGCAGAGCGCTTTGTGCACCCCAAACAACGACCTCAACAGCAGCATGTCGTGTGAGATAGGAGTGAGAGCGTCGGGATGGTTTCAGTCGGAGAAGAGCATGACTTAAATGATATGAAGAGTTGCAAGAAAAATTAAGATGATAATGGCTTGTAAAAAAGATCTTGAATAACATAAAAAAGGATTGTGATCTATTCTGTGTTAATTCTGTATGGAGTATACCTACTCGATGAAATCGTGAAATGAACTTCCATCTTTCTTCAATTATTTTGCTTGATATTCATCTCTACATACTTTTTTTGAAAGAACATTTCACTTCTGAGTTAGCTGATTTTAGAAAGCTGAAATTATATCTGTTATTACTCGTCGTGTTTGCATACGTTAGCTGCGCGTTCTTTGCGTTGTGGCGCTTGTGCGTGATGTTGGGCCCGGCTGGCACGTCTCCAGCCGAATGCATGTGTCTTCTTCATTCGTCTCGTCTCCCCGCTCTCTCGCTCGTTGCACCGCACCCCAGCCGATAGTGCCGAGCTGTCAGTCCCGTAGAACCGGAGGACGGCTCAAATGGACGGACGGACGGGGATGGACGGTGACATGAACGAGCGCTGCGAGGCCAGAGAGCCCCTTGGGTGGAGGACTATATATCGCCGGATTTGGAAGAGTCCCGCACGGATTCCGTGCAGGAACGCATGTCCGCGCATGTACAAGGGTGCGTATTTGTCGCAAATGACCGCTGGGACCGCCCTTTTCCGGCGACATATAGTCCTCTACCCGAGCCCCTCTGGCAGTCGCAGTTTCGACTGCGAGTTGTGCAGCGACGGTCTCGAGGTCAGCATCGAGAAGAGACGCAGAGAGAGCGCAGAACTCTTTGGTGGCCGTATTCATCAACGAACCCAGTGGGTTCCGGAACCCATTGGGTTAGTGCTTTTGATGAATATCGATTCTACCCTGGACTAGAATCGACATTCATCAAAAGCACTAACCGAAGGGGAAGGAGAAGGGGTGATGACAAAAATTCAGAAATTAAAAGCTTTTAGAGAGCCTGTGGTGCAGTATTCTTGTGAATTTGGAAAGCCTTCTGCTATCCACCACTTTTCAACACATACTCGATCTGCCATGCTTTTCTAGCAATCTGTGCAATAATGCAATCATCGATCTAACATCATTGTTTTTGTTGGAGGCGGAAATTATGCAAAATATTCTTCAAATACCGTAATGGTTTGGGATGATAAACATAAACAACAAGAGCTTGTCCTTGAGGCAACTTGTTTTTTTTTTGTTGTGTTTAGCTATAATTTCAATTCCTTATTGGTTCTAGATTACAGTGGCCGGAGGTCCTATTGTGAATGTACTGCTAGCATATTCTAAGTTGATAGTTCTGCAAGAGAAGCGGATACATGTCTTTCAATTTCCCAATCTCTGTGAACTGATTAGAACAGAAGAAATAAGGTACATCTCGTTTTTTGCTGGTTTTTATTTGTAAGTTTTGTTGTTTCAGATGCAACCCGACCGGTCTGGCCACAATTGGTTGCGATTTCAACGGTTTTTTTCGATTTTTTTGGTTTCGATGCTCACTTAACGGAAATTGCTCAATTAGCATTGAATAATCAAGCAACGCTTTTGGCGACGGGATCTACTAAAGGCACAGTCATCAGGTATCGCCCTTTTTGTTTGCTCCATTTTGTCAATGTCCAGTCCTTTTGCCATTTGTTTCACTTTTTGTCATACAGTAAGTGGAAGAAGTGAAGTCAAGTTACTCTTGATTTTCCCTTCCTAATTTGATTGCTCTTTCTTCGAAACATGCTTATATTTGTAGTATAACTAAGTTTGTTAATGTGACGCTTCAAGGATATTTGACAAAAATTCTGTCGTGACGCGATGTCTCATGGAATTTCGGCGAGGTGCTGATCCCTGCCTGCACCTTGCACTGTCTGCAGTTCTCCCCTTGCTCTAGTTTTCTTGCCGTAACCAGCGACAAAGTAGGTAGCACGTATACCTCCTTGTTGTAACAAATTCGGCGTTTTCAGGGTACCATCCATATCTTCACACTTCGTGACAGTGACGATGCGAGAAGAGGTCTACTTCACAAGGTTGGAAATATGGCTCTTCATATTTTTGATAGTCTTGAATTGGGCTTCTACTTTAGGTTGAATTGACGAAGGGAGAACGGCGGAGTTCTGTGCAGATCTCGTTGGAGCCATGAGTATTGGCTTGTGGTTTCATCAAAGGTTCGTGACACGTCATACTAGAACTACTTATGCATTGAGTATCCATTCCAGCGACTCATCGATGCAGTCTATAGTTGCCATTTGCCAGTTTCCTTTTACTTTATTTAACGTCTACAGAATAAAAAGATTCAACCATTTATCGGTATTTCTCTGGGGTCTTTTCCCTACATATCATGATTAACGTACTATATCGCGGACTCTGGCTGTTTCACATTTTAATGTGAAATATTTGTCATTATGCAAATTCAGGAGATTTTACCCGTAAGCGCAGCATGTCTTTTCACGACGAGGATTACACTCCGCAATATTATGATCTGGATACTGCACCTGGTCTGTTATATATGTGCTATTAGAGTACACTACAGAGGAATCGTGTTTTCAGGTGATCAGGATATGGAGTATGAGCGTCAAGTTGATGGAAAGGAAAATAGGGTGAGAAGAAATCAAGGCGCTTTTCTGAGCGACGATAGTACCAATGTCATTCACAGACGCAGTCAGACTTTCTATGGTTGGTTTTCTCTTCATAATTATGGTAGCAGTTTAGAAGACATGCAACTTGCTACAAATCTGAATGATAGGAGGGCTTATGTACAGCGAAAATGTAGCAGCGACGAGAAACGCCGTAAGATTTCTCATGAGTCATGCAATTCTGTTGCTTCGACTGCAAATGCGCTGCCGGTAACGAATACGTTTTCGGGTTGGTTGTGGCACAACTTTCTAATATGGACAGAGGAACCACCTAAAAAGTTTTTAGAGGCAGTGAACAGCATCACAGGAGAAAATTCTTTGTCTTTAGTGAAATTAGGAAAACTTGTACGCCAATTCGAAATGAATCTTGAAAATAAGGTAACGGTACACACCGATGCGAGTAACCATTGCGTTTTTTGTCGTTCAGGAACTGCTAGCGACAAAGATGAAAGAAGTGAATGCCATTAATCTGCAGCAAGTCAAGAGTATGCAAAACGCAATCGACTCAATGAGACCATCATCAGACTCAGTCGTGAGAACTTTAGCTGGAATCATAAAAGAGCAAAACAATATCATAGCTGGACTAAGTCTGACTGTAAGTAAGATAGATCCAGAACGGAGGGTGAAATGCAGTTCTTTAGATAGACGTAATTCTCTCCATCAGCAAGAACATGGAAAGCAGTTACGGAAAGCTTCATATCACATAGCGAAAGGCAACGAATTTACTTTACCGGCAGGACATGTATTTGAGCGAAAGAATTTCACGAAGTCGTGGAAATTTAACGGGTTTCCTCCATTCAAGGTTACCTGTAGTAGTTATTATCGATACAGCAGCACTTAATTTTGTTTCAGAATGCTAACATGGTCGAGTTATTTGAGAATTGGACGCAGCCATCAAGGGCACACAAAAATGACCATTTTTTGTTAATGATGGATTTTTATAGGTTCTATTTTTTGCATGTAAGTGAGGCTAAAATTTCGAGTCTATACTGAAGAGAGGTGCACTTAGGCATGCGAACCAAAACAAGAAATCCAAAATTTTGCGTGCAGACAATCCGGTAAAAGGGGAAGATTTCCGCATCTGCAGGACCTGCCCGAAAGTCTCGTCACATTTTTGATAAGTGAGTAATTGATGGTCTCTCTAAAAATTCTAAAATAGATCTTCCAGATTTCGTTCTTGATGGTGTTGGCCTATACGCAGAAGAACTGCTGATGAGTGCTAGCGAATGCGCGCGGCAATCAAATAGGTATAGATAGAAGTGTTTCTACCCCTTGATATCTCATTGATTTAGATTTTGGCTGGGCCTAGGGAACGACGATGAGGCGAGGACGAAGATGTTTGACAGGTTGTCGGAGGCGAGGATGAAGCTTTGTGGATTAGCACGAGTGGCTATAGGAAGAGCTTTGTGGGTTTCTTTTAAAGATAGTCTTCATGAATCTATTGAATTTGAAGTTCAGAGGTGACCTGCGCGCCTACCATTTCGATGCTGAAAAGGAGATGCTGTCGCCACCCTCGGTAATATTCATATATGATTTCTCAAATCAGTGTTGAATTGTAATTCTTTTCCAGAAAAAACGTTTTTGCCCCGCTACAACGCAAGATTCTTTGGCGCACGAGCACACGAATGAGCCAGAGCATGAGCAAGACGAAGACATCGAAAGTCTGAAGTCGATTTGAATAATGGATTCAATGTCAAATCTTGATCTCGACATTCCTGTTTTTTTCTGTTAACTTAGTTATGATGATTTCAATGTTCTTTTTTGGTCACGAATGCTAATGAAGAGTCTTTCTGAACTCTGTGTCGAGCACAGCACCTTTGTAAGATGTGTGTAGTGTAAATTTTTGAAGGAGAACCAATTCTAAGAAAAGCCCAGGCGGAAGCTGATCGGGTCGCTGCTATATCGCGCCTCCCGCAGGAGACTGCAGTCTAGAGCGGGAGCCCCGCCGGTGACCGAATCGCGAGAAAACCGGGACTCCCGAAGGTCTCAGTAGAGAACATGTTGGGACAAAACCGGGAGTCGCGCCGCATTAACCCGAACGAAAACCGGGAGTCCCGGTTTTCTCGCGAACCATTTTACTTGTGTCCCGCAGTCATTCCGGCGGGACACAACTTTTTCACCGGCGGGACTTAACTGCGAATGTCTGAGTTCTTACTCAGACAATAACTCGGACGAGCGGCGGGCCTTAATGGCTTTCCGGGCGAGCGGCGAGCTTTGATTCGTAGGTGTGGCTTTCCTGCGGACGAGCGGCGTACCCTCGCTACCGAGCTTGCGAGCGGCGGACCTTGATTTGACCAGCGGCGGCCCATCCCCTCAGGCGGGTGGGCGGCGTACCATTAACACGTTAGACTAACTTGCCATCATTTCTATGTGCGAGTCATTCTCATTTAGTGTTATTGCGGCTTGAGGGCAGTCAACTGGCAACTCAGACAATAACTCGGACGAGCGGCGGGCCACTACCGGGCGGGCGATCATGCCTCCCGCCGCTCGTCCTCTAGAGGCATGCGGGCCGCCCGCTAGAGATATGAAGCGGGCAAGCGGAGTACCTTTAGCGGGCCAGCGGAGTACCCCTTAGGGGGCGAGCGGAGCACTTCCCTCCACTCTCCCGCTAAAAGTACTCCGCTCGTCCGCTAGCATCAAAGCGGACAAGCGGAGTGCCTTTGGCGGGCTAATATCTATACGTTGTCCCGCTCTCCCTCTAGAGATATGCCTCTTCTGAAGACTGCAGATATGACAGCTTACTGTCATCGCGTTAATAATCTCTCCTTTCGTTTCCTATGGGCAGATGTGCTAACGCCTAAATTCTTGAGATAGATATGTACAAACAATTATTGTAACGCTTTATAGTTTATTAGAAAAGCTAACCACATGTAAAAGCAGATGCAATGAGCATGCTCAGCGTCATGAATTGGAACAGCACGAGATAATAAACCGGAACAAAATAAGTATCAACGAAATAAACAACAATATCACATTCTCATGAGCGCAAAAAGGGTGCAAAGGTGCAAGCACCCATCTACACATACGCCAAAAATCGCTGTTTACCAAAAAATCTTCTTCTAGAATCTTCTCAATCTTTTTCTTCCACCTTCCGAGGCATCTTCATCGCCTGGTGCCGCACGCTTCTGTCGCTGAAGACATAAAATAATCACTAAATTGTCTATTTGTTGTTATGTTCTCACGTCGCTAGGTATCCATTTCCCCGAGTGGTAACTGTGAGACCGCACATCTCGCCTAAATTTTATAAACAATATGTAGAATGGTGAAACCGATTTTCTTAAACATACAGCGCCATTTGCAGGCATCTGAAGAGGTGTGGCTCCCTCCCGCTAAAAGTACTCCGCTCGTCCGCTAGCATCAAAGCGGACGAGCGGAGTGCCTTTGGCGGGCTAATATCTATACGTTGTCCCGCTCTCCCTTTAGAGATATGCCTCTTCTGAAGATTGCAGATATGACAGCTTACTGTCATCGCGTTAATAATCTCTCCTTTCGTTTCCTATGGGCAGATGTGCTAACGCCTAAATTCTTGAGATAGATATGTACAAACAATTATTGTAACGCTTTATAGTTTATTAGAAAAGCTAACCACATGTAAAAGCAGATGCAATGAGCATGCTCAGCGTCATGAATTGGAACAGCACGAGATAATAAACCGGAACAAAATAAGTATCAACGAAATAAACGACAATATCACATTCTCATGAGCGCAAAAAGGGTGCAAAGGTGCAAGCACCCATCTACACATACGCCAAAAATCGCTGTTTACCAAAAAATCTTCTTCTAGAATCTTCTCAATCTTTTTCTTCCACCTTCCGAGGCATCTTCATCTCCTGGTGCCGCACGCTTCTGTCGCTGAAGACATAAAATAATCACTAAATTGTCTATTTGTTTTTATGTTCTCACGTCGCTAGGTATCCATTTCCCCGAGTGGTAACTGTGAGACCGCACATCTCGCCTAAATTTTATAAACAACTAGCTGCGGTTCCCGGTCCCGCCCGGGCCGAGAGTCCAGAATGGCCCAGCATGGGGTGTGTCAAGATGTATACTTACCAGTCCTCCACTTTCTTCAGTTCATATCTTCTGTTCTCTCCTGCTTCACCTCCATGTCAGTTTTAGCGCTCGTGTAGTATCCGTGGTGAATAGTCTTCTTTCTTGTCCGGCTCGCTTCATGACACCGCATGCTCCTCACCGCAAAATGTAAATGATCTCTACCACCCCTTACTACTCACTTGGAAAAATAAATGGTATAGCCTTCATTTTCCTAGATTTTAGTAAACAAAATCAATAAATCGATAGAAGGACCCAGCGAATTGTCGAAAAAAGTAGCCTATCTGATGCGCCGTGTCTCATTTATAGGAGAACAAAATTCAGCCTCTTTGGTTCACATACAAAGGAGTCTATAAGCCACAAACATCCTAACAAACACGGTACAGTGTTTGAGTTTTATATATATATATATATATATATATATAGATATGTAGAATGGTGAAACCGATTTTCTTAAACATACAGCGCCATTTGCAGGCATCTGAAGAGGTGTGGCCGCCAGTCCTTTTGCTGCTCCATTAATTCATCCAAAATTTTCTCTCTTTCTTAATCCGTTTTTGCTAAATTCTTGTAAAACCTTAAATAAATTATTTCATAGTTCACAACAAGTCTCGATCTTTAAGAGCTCACTTAGAATCCTCAAGATTGACTTTCATCCAGGTTTATTTCGTCGTGCCCGAGGCCTAGCATATCTTCTCCAAAATCTAAATATTGGTAATATTGTCAAATCACGCCCCTAACTTGTCCTCTACCTTTCAACACGTCCTCAATTTCTTCGGGGAGGTTTTTTAAAGCCTCATTCCTTCCTCCGGTTTGGTTCACTCTCATGGAAAATTCCTGGATTTTTTCTGGGGGTCCGTGATCTAAATGCACTTTGTAGAAAGTACTCTTGCTTGCAAATCTTCCTGAAACTTACTCTTTCCAGCACAAATTGATACAAAGAGCAAAGTAGTTGATATGCATTCCCTTTTATTTTTCTCTCCCAATCCTTAGCTAGTTGCGTTAGACTGACCTAGATTGGTGTTTTCATAAATGTCATGAAATCTTTGTAGGAACTTGCTTAAACGGGGGATTCGCGTCTATCTTCCATAGCTTTGAGCAATTGTGCACACTAACAGTAACTTAGTATCTGGAGCATTCCTTTCCGCATTTTCCATAAATCGTGCCGTCTTTGTTGAAATTGCCCTGGCTATCTCAGCCTGAAACAGGATATTACAACGATATTAACGAACTGAAAACTTAGCCATACCGTCATTCTATTAGCAATGTTCCACAGCTGATGGTTATCGGGATCATTCAAGCGATTCAGATCTTCATATGTCGTCTTTGCGCACATTACTACGTTGGATCTCACAAATTCCTACAATAAAAGCCCTTTTTGCTTTTGTAGTTCACAGGGGTAAAAGTTGCTTCATTGAATCTTTGTTGAAGCATCGTTGACAGTATATATTTGGCGGCTTGATCCGTGTATAAAACATTGCTGCGAACGCAGTCGTATAAGGATGTAGGAGAAGGAGATGTTTCAGGATCACGAGAACGTGCATCGAAGTGGAATTCACTCCTCTCGTAGCCGTTCCCTCAAAAATCAAAAACTCTTCAAAGGTTTTTGTCCAAGACGTCATAAATATTTACCTCGAGGAACCTCCTCTTCTATCCCTGCGGAATTTTCTCCGTTGAACTCATTCTCGACTCTTTCATCACTGCAAATGCGAACTTGATATCGAAAATTAGGATGAGGTGCAAAATGAACTTTTCTGTGGAGATGCCAGCTGCCTCAAAGCGCATCTCTGCTTGGCGTAGACTCTTGGTGGGGCTGCGACACTGCTAAGAATATATGGCCGGTACATTTCATTGTAATGGTATATTCAAAACAATCAAACAGATGAAGCAATGTGCTAGAGAAAACACAGTAAAGTTGCTGAGTAACCATTTCATTTGTACGGGTCTAAAATACGAATACTAGGACAAACTTCTTGTTAAACATTCTTGTCGTGCACCACCAGTATCAATGTTGGATACATGTTTTTGATTACAATAGATCTATTAGGCTGCTGTGTAAATGCCGTACGATTTTTTGTCTTGTGTTCAACGGAGCATTTCTGCGAGGATTCATGTCTGATGTGAAAATGTTCGTATCATTAGAAAGCGTTTTTCTTGCCCTTTTTGATACAGATTGGATTTCATGAAATCTTTTGTCTAACAAGATTATAGGCCAAGAGCGCAGGTTTTGGGAATTCTAAGGACTCTTTTTGGTCATAAAGATAGTCTTCAAAATTTTCGCATCCAGCAATGGCTATTGATTAGATATGCGTGCCAGATCTCTTGAGCATCGGGTCATCCGCCGGCATTGTCGGGTGGTTACCAGGCACTTAGAATTTGAACTTAAAACTTAGAATCTTCAGTGTTTTAAATCGCGTGCTCATTCAACACCTTTTCACCTCTAAGGCTTGATACATACCCGACGTCGGGTGTCTATACGTAGCGGTAGCAGCAACGCATTTGATGCGTATCGATTGCAGCGGAGTGACGCTGCTGCCTCACGCTGCAGCAGCAAACGCAAAAGGCCATGTCCTTACCTAGCGATTCATTTTTGAGCAGCGCTGCTCGTGCTGATCAGCGCTGCAACTAGATTTTGCAGCTGAGTTATGCTCACTTTTTCTGAGCTCATCTCA